TACTTTTTCTACTTTATATTTGTTAAGGTAATAAAATATGTGGTTGCTAAGCAATTTAGATATCTTTAGCAACCCAAAGTTAAAAATAATGTCACCAAAAGTTACATAAGCTAGTAACTGTACAAAACGAACCATTGTCAGGCATTTCAGGTTTCACTGTCAACCAATATCCACAATCCAAAAACCACTACAATAATTGTAGTAAAATTGTAGCATAAAATATTCAATGTGGTAATTATGGGAGTAATCCAATAAAGTTATAACTTTTTTTAGTTTATATTTATTAAGGTTAATAAAATATGTGGTTGCTAAGCAATTTAGGCATCCGTAGCAACCCAAAGTTAAAAATAATGTCACCATTAAAAACGCAACTCTCAAATTAGTAAACAGTGCAAAAATGGTTCTGAAATCTTTTTTATATGACGAGTTATTAGTTTTGTCCAGTAAAAGTGATTTCTGGCCCACTGTGCTGTGCTTTTAATAAAATTAATAAAATTTAATAAATTAACAATAAAAATTAATAAAAGTAGTTTAATGCACATTTAAAAAAAATTATGAAAAAAAATAAATAATAATAAACTATTATCATCAACACACAATTACAAAAAAAATATTAGTGTTTGTAAATATGTTTATTGCTAATTAAAAAATATGTATGAGAGATTAGCAGCTTATTAGCATAAGAAAAATTGTTAATAATTTTCGCTAACTCTAGTAATTTAAAAAAAAGTTTGCTAATTGTCTATTTTGTTAATTTAGTAAGAAAATCACTAACCTTTTGTTGCATTAAGTTTAGAAAAGACTTTAAGGCTTTGCTACAAATTATCTAAATGTAATTGTAGCTGAATTATTCAGATCTAAAATGATTGATTGAAAGTATGTATGGTGTCATTTTAATTTATGGTTTGCCAACTTGGAGTAAGTTTTTCTTTGTCACATCTTTAAAAGTAACACGCTAAATAATTAAAACTGTAAATGTACTGTAGAAGAGTTCAATCTGTTTGGGTTTCTACAATCTCACTGTGTTACAATATTTTTGTTCCACAAAAAACAAAATTCATTGAATAATGACAATGATGATGACTAAACTTTAGTCAAAGGCATATAATAAGATTAAAACTATAACTTTTAAACTGAATTATATTTTAACATTTACTTATAGATTACTTCTGCTGTAAGAATATATACCTACAGTATTACTGTAAAAAATAACACATAACCTGTAAGAAATGTCACAAATGTAATGTAATAACACATAAACTGTAAGTAATTGTCACAAGCATATATGATCCAAACTATAAGTAAAGTAAAAATAGTAAGACTGTAAGAAAATTTTACTTTAACCATGCTACCCCAGAATATAAATTATTGATATTTCTGGGGTATCTTTATTTGCAAAGAAAGATACTCTAGATTTATTATTGTGTAAAATTAGGTAACTAGAATTAAAGTTAGGTAATTGAATATTAGGTAATTAAAATAGGTAAAATTAGGTAATTAAAAGTTAGGTAATTAAATGAATTTAAAAAATATATAAATATTTAGTAAATATGTTAAATTTACATTGTTATTAATAATTATTATATATACATTATTTAAAAGCCATAAAAATTTTTAGTTGAAAAAAAATACTGTCATTAAATTGTGCTATAGAAAAATATTTACAGAAACGTTATGCAAAAGTTATTTGAAATAAATACTAACTAATTTTTTTAAAAACTTTATCTTGAACTATAATTTCCTGATTTAAAAAAGTTTAACTTAAAATTTATTAATAAAGTTACACTTTCTACCCTACCAAACGTATGATATAATATCAATATTAAAATTTTACGCATCAGTTAATAATATAACACTGACATTAATATCACTGATCTCAAAATATAACTCAAAATATAATTATATTTTGAGATCAGCGGCTAGGTACGCGAGTATCGCGTTTTACGGAACCGAATTTTGTGCTAAAATTCTGTGCCATGTTTTTCGTAGTCTCTTCAAAGTTTCGTAGTCACTTCAAGTTCAAAGATTGAGGAAGGTTTTGTGGAATAACTTTTTAGTATTCGTTATCAACATAGATTATTTTTAGAAAGAAGAATAGTTGAAGCATTAGTTTGATTTTTTTTTTTAATTTTGTTCACTTAATTTATTATTGAGTTTATTGATGTCAAAGTTTTATACTTTTTTGCTAAAATTAATGTCCAGGATATAGTCTTTTTTTTATATTCATTTTTTTTATTAAATTTATTCATTTATCTATGCACCTGTCAAATTTGGTTGAAAAATATTTTGTAGCAGTTATCTTATTTCTTGCTGCACTTTTGTTACCTAATTTACATTTTACCTGATGTTGGCGTGGAAGACAGAGGGGTTCATTGATTACTTTTGTTTATATTTATTTTACATATATAGCATTCATATTAGCAATATTTGACTTATGTCATAAATTATTATTGTAAACCTAGATATTTTAGAATAAAAATATAGTTAAAAAATTTAATAGAAATTATTTTAATAAAACGATTTTTAGTAAATAGTAAAATGAGACTTGGACTTTATATTTCATTTAAAAAATAAAATGGAGGAAAATAAAGGTTTAACCTAGTATTTCCTATCATATTGATAATAAGAATTAGATGTGAATCAAATTAGTGACGAATTATATCTAATTTGAAGTTTGAACGTTGTCTTTATTTAATAAGGAATATCTTCATGAATAAGTTGTTTCAATATAAATTTATCAAGCTGTTTTTAAATTATCTGACCACTAATCTAAACCTTTATGTATAACTTAAATATTTCTTTCGCTGTTTTAGACGCCCAAAGTTGCAGTGCAGCCGACAATATCAGCTGGTTACTTTCTGTATTCAATAGCTTAGTAGTTATTATATAGATGTTATTTTTATATTACTTTGTAAATTTTTATATTACTTTATAAAAATAAAGTTTATTTAATTTTTGTTTAGATGAAGTTGCTTTAGAGAAGATCAGTCAGTTATATCTCTATTATATGATTTGTTATTTTAGTATTTAGTCATTAAAATTAGTTTTCTAATAGAATTCTTTATTACGCTTATGTAGATTGTTGTCTAACAATATTATTTCTTGTTAGTTGTATTTTTTTATACTTGAAACTTACATTTTATTAAGTCACTCTTTTTTTTCTGTAGAAAATTTAGAACAAACAATCAGTAAGTTAAGTTTGAATTGTTTTAGTTACTATATCATTAAAAAGAATTTGTATGCTGTGTTAATATTCATTGTTGAATAAATATTTTGATTTAAAATTGACATTTAGGTGAGTAGGGCGAGCAGATATGTAAGCAGGGCCGTACCGATAGGGGGTGTGGGGGGGGGGGGGTGTCCACCCCCCCAGATTTTTAATATTTTGTCGGTTAAACAGTACAATGGTAAATTGTCGGTAAGATTACAGTAAATCGTAATCTTACCGACAACTTTACCATTATACTATTTAACCGACAAAATATTAAAATTATTATTTTCTTGTTGTTTCTGTATTGCAAAAATGTTTTTATATCATCCTTAACGCTAATTTTCAATGCATAAAAAACTAATTCTTTTTAGGAATTTAACGCGTATAACAAATAAAACTCAGCTAAGCATGTTTTTGGTTGCCGTTTTTTTTATTCTCAAAAATTGCGTTACGTAATTAGTCAACAATTTCTAATTACTTTATTGCAAGAATCTTAATCAAGAGACTTGTTTACTTGATGTTTGCACAGAAGAAATCAAAGTTTAGTTAGCGGTGTGTTTTTATTATTAGAAATTTGGTACTAGTATTGAAAGTTTGGCGAAAGAAGTAATAAACTATTTTGTTTATACTTGTAAGTTACGTATTTACTAATAAAATTTTAAAAAGTTTAAAATTTATTAAATCATTTATATATTTTTTTAAGGCAAATATTTTGTTAGTTTAATTTGTAATTATCTTAGATTTTGGGTTCAAGATGCCACATCCTGGTGTTAAAAGATACAAAGTCAAATGCAAAGTCAAGAACTGTTCACATTCAATTTTTGATAATGACTATCGGATGACACATAATCGAATTTCTCATTTGGATTATATCCGAAACCATAAAGGGATACCTTATGAGAAGTATGGCGCACCACGAAACCCTTTTGAAACCAATTCGGCAATAAATTCCCAATCGTGCAGCAAAATAAGTTTGTCTAACATTAATTTCAATGCCCAAAAACATTGCCAAAGCAACATTACAATCGAAGTGGAAATGAATATCAATGAAAATCTGACAAAAATCTCTGAAGCAATTGAAAATGAATCATCTGAAATTGAATGTGAGATAATAAATGAGAGTAAAAACATTGATATTACTAATGATGAAATACTAGCAGTGCCTGAAATTTTGGATTTCTGTGATCAAACTCTGTTAGTAGAATCCCAACCGAGTGATGTTAATTTATTGGAAAAAGAAACTACGTTTTCAATTTCGGTGGGTAAATTTGCAAAGCTGTGTAAACTTTTAAGTGAGTGCGAATTAAAACTAGATGAAGTGAAAAATACAGACAATTTACATTTGGAAAAACTTCTCATTGAAATGACAGAGCTTGCTTCTGAGGTAAAAATTTCAGCAGAGAATGTTTTGGATGCCAATGACCAAGCTCTTGCAAACATTTTAAACAAAAGAAAGTATGATAATATTGAAACACTTACTACAAAAAATTTCTTTCTTTCGCATGATCCTGGCCAGCGTTCGAAAATTGAAAACGATAATCTAAGAAACTATCTAATTGAACTTGGACCACATCAAGTAAAACTTAATAACTTTCCTATCAATAAAGATATTGACAAAAGGAAGCAAAATCGTTTTTCATCATTGTGGTACAAAGAATACCCTGACTTAGAGTACAGCATACTTAAAGATAGCGCATTCTGCTATGTATGCTCTCTCTTTCCAAATGGACCAGGTAGAGAGAATAGTGAAGTTGCTTAGGTTGAAAACGGTATCCGCACGTGGCATAAAATGAAGAGTCGAGGAAAGAAAGGTAAAAGAGGAAAACTATCAGAAAATTTTTCATCAAAATCTCATAAAGCTTCATTATTAGACTATTGCAATTATTGTAATAGTGCTCAACATATTAATCTCCTCTTGGACAAGAAACAAAGACAAATTGTTATTAGTGAAAAAGAAGAAATGGAGTCTAATAAGTGTGTTATAAAAGTTCTTATTGATTTGGCTCGAACATTGGGTAGGCAAGGAATCGCGTTTCGTGGAGATGATCGGGATGAAAATGGAAATTTTAGACAGTTGGTATATTTTATGTCGAGACATAATTTGGTACTTAAACGATGGTTGAGCAACATAAAACTTAGAAAATATCATGTGACATATATGAGTGCTAAATCCCAAAACGACTTCATTCATTTGCTTGGACAAGATGTTCAAAGCAAAATTGTTTCCGAAGTTAACCAAGCATCGATGTTTTCAATTATGGCAGATACAACTCCTGATGTGTCACACAGTGATAAGTTAGCAATTGCAGTAAGGTATGTGGATAAAAACTGTAATATTAAAGAAAGAATTGTGCAGATATGCGAGGTAGCTGACAAAACGGGTGATGGAATTGCAAATTTAATAATATCGACAATCAATAACCTTCAACTTGATGTCAATAGTGATGTGTTTCAAGGATATGATTACGCCAGCTCTATGTCCAGCAACATTAAAGGAGTTCATGCAAAAATTTCAGAAAAGTTAAAACGAGTTGTACCTTATATTCCATGTCAAGCTCATCGAACTAATACTTTTGTTGAACATGCGGTTAAAAGAAATAAAATGGCTTCAAATGTCTTTGAAGTTCTTGAAATGTGCTACGTATTTATTTCTTCAAGTACTAAACGATTCAGCTTACTTAATTCTAAACTTGAGTTTATTGAAAATTCCTTGAAACTTCGCAATCTTTCAAAAACTAGATGGTCAGCGCGTTCAGAATCCATTCAAGCATTTTGGATAAGTATGGAATCTATTGTTGAATGTTGTTATGAAATAAGTCAGTCCGATTTATTTGATAAGAAAACAAAGGATCAAGCTTTAGCAATACTTAAAAAAATCGTGAATCCAGACTTTATCATTATGCTTATGCTTATCAAAGGAGTCATTGCAAAAACAAAGATTTTTACTGATGAGTTGCAGAAAGTTGAGTTGAACATTTTAGATGCTAAAATGATTGTATTGTCTACAATACAATCTCTTGAACGAAATAGAAAAGAAGAATTTGAAGTACATTGTGAAATTGTACTGTGCCTATTAATGCCAAATAATGGAGTAAATACAGATGCTCATTTATTTCATGCAGAGTTAGAAATTTTTATGAACACATTTACTAAATCTGATGCTCCAACAAACAATGAAAAATTAAAACTGTCGTGGCAAAGACAAAACATATTCCCAGGAGTTTTCAAAGCTTTCAAGCTAATGGCTTCAGCACCAGTGTCCGTTGCAAGCGATGAAAGAACATTTAGCAAATTAAAAATTGTTAAAAATATTTTGCGTTCGACTGTCAGATGCAAGATTGGCGTCATTAATTTTGTTGGCGTCAGAAAAAGATTTAGTGGACAATATAGATCTTGACGTGTTGGTAAAAAAATGGTCTATAACAACACAAAGACGTATTCAAATTGAATAATTGATTATCCAGTTTTGCGTTTTATACGTTAACTTTGTTGTTGTTTGTATATGCTTTTGAAATACTGTAAATTTCATTTGCATTGTAAAGTTTATATAATCTTTCAGAAAAAATATATTTTATTTCTTTTAACGTGTTACAGGTAGTAAATTAAGAATGCAATTATGATTTTGAAAATTTTTCCGAAAAAATCCTTTTTTCAAAACAAGAAAAATTTTTGTCGGTTAATTTGACGACTGCACCCCCCCAGTCTTTGTATGCTAGATACGGCCCTGGTTAGAAGATCGTGTTATTCGATTTATAAAAAAATAGTCTTCTTAAATCACACAATCAAAAACTAACCCTACAAACAGAAAGCTTAAATCAACCTTGAGAAAAAGAATATATTGCAATAAAATTTTTTAAAAAAGAAAGTCTAAATGTAAAAATTTATATGTAAGAGATTAAATATTATACAAAAAATAAAAAATAAAAACAGAGAAGCAAAATACTACAAAATATATGAAAATTACTAAATTCATTTTTTTCTTTGTTCGTTGCATTTCATACTACCAGATAATTCTTTTTTTCCCCTTACCCACCCCTGTTTATTAAATAATTAGATTTATCTTGACCTTATTTTCAAATATTTTAAAAAATTGACTAGTTTATAGTTCACTTGATTTTTATGAGTAGCTCCCTAACAGTCGTAAACTTATTGCTTGTTATTTAATGATTTTTAAACGAATCATGTGCCTTTAATTTTAGGGTTGTAAATCTTACACCAGTTATTAAAAACCCTAGGGAAAGAGTTTGAAATCTTATTTAATTGAAAACTTAGTTATTTTGAACATTTAAAATTTTTTATTTCGTAGCACTTAAAAAGAAGTTAAGGGATCGTCCATAAAATACGAACGCTCGGAGAGGAAGAGGGGTCTGCAAATGTAAAAATATGAGATAGGGGGGGGGGGGGGAGTAGTAGGTCAGTTATAAAAGGTTTGGAGACACTAAATTTAAAAAAATATTATAAAATGGTGGGTTGGTAGGTTTAAAACGTAGGTACTTTTAGGCAGGTATAGGATTACATTTCTTACTTGTTCTCCAAGGCACTTACTAAAGACTACTATACTAAATCCGCCACTAATACAACTTCTTCTTATTGGTATCCATAATATATATATACGCAGCTAAACCACTGGTTTCGCACCCCCGTTTCCTATTAAACGTTAATATTATAACATTCAACGTTTCTTTAGGTACTTTAAAAGTTTAACTTCTTAATCCTTTGTATCCGCCCTTAACGTACGCATTGTTAAGGCTTTCTTAATGTGTAACGTCTAGGGCTATACAAATAGCTTTTTTTTTTTGTGTGATCTAATTCCGTTGTGATAAAAATTGATATTGAATTTTAATTCAATTAATTAGTAAACTTTTAGATATATTTTGTTTACAAATATCCCGTCACTTAAGAAATAGGAGGCTGGGGTGAGGGGGAGGGGATACAAAAATATCACAAAACCATTTTGGGAAGGGAGATATCAAAAAAGAGCAAAAAATGTGTCGAGCAGCCTTATAACTACAAAAAATCAATTCCCCAGGTTTAATTTTAAAACATTAAAAACAAACAGGATCAAAAGTTTTTTTTAATTCAACATTTTTCTGTATTTAAGACAGGTTTCAAAGGGCATGAAAAAAGACATGCACAAAAGTTTAACTCATCATTTATATAACATTAATAGTTCAATTAAAGAGCAAAATATATTTGATAGTATAATTTTAATGTATTATAATATACCCTTATAAAATCTCTAAATTTAAAGTAAACATGTTTGAATCTGTACATTGGCTCAAAGGCCAGGTTTGCTAGATTGTGGAGCTTTGTATCTCATGGGAAGGAAATAAGTTTATATAAAATTTATTAATTATATTTTTAACAACAACAACAAAATATCGATAAATTTTATTTTTTTATCTCTCAGTATTACATAATTTAACAAGTTGTATCATACTGATTGAACTTTTTATTTAATTATCAATCGAATTTCTGAAATTCATCAATATAATCAATCTGTAGATTGTTAGCATATGCCATTAATACAGAACTTGCCTACTTTATACAACCATGTTTTTTAAATCTTGAAGTTTTTAAACTTTAAAAAAAATGTAAAATCTGGTTTCAGCTTCTGTCAAGTAAGAACATGATACTGTGCTTTTAATGATCAAATTGTTTTCTTAAAGTGTTTTATAAAATCATCTAGGAAAAAAAATGTCAGCTTAATTAAATTAACAAAGTCAGCTATTAAATTAAAACCCACTTTATCAATATATAAAATCATTTATAATACTGAAAAATATCAATAAGCATTGTCTAACTGTACATTACCAGCTACTAATGCAACTTGGTATCTAAATTAGTAAACCGAACCATATTTAAGTATTTTTTACAAGACAATAACTATTGTCGTCAATTATTATGATGACAATTAATTATCGTCATAATAATTGTTCCAATATTTCCAATATTATAGGGTTGAAATATTGGAACAGCTAATATGATGACAGATATATAGTCTTCTAAAAATAGTACATATAAGAAATAGATGTATTTTAGATTTAGTATATGTAAAAAAACCAAGTAATATTTTAACTTTATTAATTTTTAGTTTAACATGAAACAATAAAATTAACTTAAATTTCATGTAAGCTATGTATATTATTGTATTTCTAAAAAATAATTGTCTTGTTTGCTCTTTTTAATTCCTGAAAAATAATAAAACTTTACATAGCTTATACTTATGTAAACTGCTTATTTAATATTGCACATTGTTCTCTCTCTGTTTCTCTCTCTCTCATTATATATATATATATATATATATATATATATATATATATATATATATATATATATATATATATATATATATATATATATATATATATATATATATATATATATATATATATATATATATATATATATATATATATATATATATTTATATTATGTTTGTGTATTCTACAAATAGAGTGCTCAATGTTCTTAAAGAACAGAACAATAATAAATTAGTAAAAACACTTATCTAATTTTATTTTCTTTTACAGCTATATATATACATATATATATATATATATATATATATATGCATTTTTTTATAAAAATGCACCAGAACAAAATTCGAGAAAAAACTAAACTCTTAACAAGCTAAACGAGTTAAAAAACATTTTTACAGAAAAATTAAATTTAAGCAACAACCAAAAGAAGGTCAAAGTATAAATAAAGTAGTAATAATAATAAAGAAAAGTTTTTTTTAAATTTGTACAGTTAGAAATTCTCAAAATTTATTTTTAAAAAATAAACAAACCACTCAATGTTACAAATAAAAGTTTTAGCCAAAACACAAATTAAAACTTTAAAAATAATTGGTTAGCATATTTATTTATTTACTAATACAAAAAAGGCATTTATTTATTGATTTAGATCAGTAATATAGTTGCAACATTAATTTTTAACAAAAATAAACTAAAAATAACAGTTGCTATATAAAAAAGATTATGTAGCTAAGAGCCGCAGCCATTTTAAAAACTCTGAAATTTTAATCAACTTTTGGCACATGCGCACCTAAACTTAACGCTTGTATACGACCGTGTATAGATTTCATAAACAATCTACAATTCCAGATCCAACATCAACTTCCATAGATCCTACAGAATCTTTATGATTATTTAAACAATCATGGGTTTCCAAAATATTTTCATAAAGTTTTGGATCACTATCTTTTTTTAATTCCCATGATGTACAGGCATTGCATATTTTTGAAAGAACTCGGTAGTCAACACGTTTCCCTGAGTCACTAGAAATAACAGTAACAACACCATTAAGTGAGGAATGACCCCTTTTTTGCCAAGTTCCATCACAGGAAACAACAACATCAGCTATTACATTAATATCAAAATCATTAGGTTGGATATCATTGTTAAGAAATCGAAATTCATTTGCTGCATTTTTCATTTTTCCATCAGCTACAATTTGATATATGATATGAATTTTATCTTGAACATCATTAAATGCTTTTATGTTCATTGGAGGAGGTAAGTTCATTAAACCACAAAATTTTTCTAAACCAGAATGACTTTTTCCTATCTCTCTCATTTTAACAACAAATCTACAATTTATTTCAAATAGTGACATTCCTGGACCTTGCTTTTCAATCTCTTTGCTAGAATAAAAAGACTGTTTCCAATCAATGTTAAAAATTATTAAAATTTTTAATAATTTTTAACATTGATTGGAAAATATTAAAAACAAGCACAAATCAAATAAAGAATAACACGAGGCTGCTAGTTTTTCTATAAGTAATATATGTAAACATAATAATTGTACTTAAAAGTCATGGCTTATTTAGAAAAATAAACATGAAACAGCTACTGGCACCAGTGTCAAAAACTTATAGTAAATGACGCAACACTCTAAAACACCTATTTTTTAGTATAAACAACCCGTTGCTAAGGCCGTTGCTAAGAAAATTATTTAACTTCACTATAAAACTTGCTATTTTAGAGCATTTTTAAATTTACTCACTATGATGATCTATATATATTTGGAATGTAAAATGTTTGGGCTTCAAGAATATGCAATTTTTGAAAAATCGATTTTTTTAATTTTTTTTAGTATAGGACCACCTTGAGAGGGTCACGAACCCCATTTAGGCATTATAACACTGACGATGTTGGCCTGGAAAATGTGCAATGTGGACTTGTATTTTTAAATTGTTTTATTTATTCTTACCACTATTCTTGCTATTCTGAAAAAAAAAAAATTTAACTTAAATAAGTACAAAAGCATTATGAAATGTGCAGATAATCATTCAATCGTATATATATTCAAAAGATAAATTTTCTTGGATATTTGCAAATAGTAAGATAATAATAACTTTAAACAACATTTAAGTATACATTTAACATTATA